CCTTGCGCTTGTGAGACAGGCGGTGGAACTACTGAACTAAATCCCCAGCCCAAAAACTTACTTTTTGAGAGTAACTTGGTGGCTTTACAGCCAACATCTACGTTACTCCATAGCCTCTACTCTGAGTCAGACTTGGAGTTGGCTGCACGGGGCAGTTCTAAAGTCAAGAGTACATGTAAAGAAAGGAAATAATGCCAACTGTCTATTTTCTCAGAATTCAAAATGTAAAGTAAGAGATAGAAATATTCATTAAAGAGCTTCAAAATGAGATAAACTCTTTGGATCTGCGCGGGTTCTAATAAGTGCTTGGATAAGATACAGGGGTTACCAAGGCAGGGAACATGAGCACCTCAGAAGAGTGAAAGTCCTGCTGAAGGTTCATTAGGTAATTTCTTTCTTGTTTGTTGTTATAAGGAACAGACAGCTTAGTTGGCCTACTTAGTAACTAGAATGAGGGTTACTTTTTATTGAGAGAGGCTTTATACTATACACTTCCTTATATTGTTTATTTTCACTAAGCAATCTGTGTTTATTATTATTACCATTACTACTACTCTTGTTGTTGTTGTTAGCAGTGCTGTGGATTGAGCCCAGGGCCTCCTGCATGCTAGACAAGTGCTGCTACTTTGATGTGTTGAGTTGGGCAGGATGAGTATAAATGTCTCCATTTACAGAGGAGGAGACTAGAATGCAGGTACGGCAAACGCACAAATCATCAGTGGTAGAGCCAGGTCTTGGACTTAGTCCATCATGCTGTCCCCTCTTCAGCTCTGTGCTGCTGTCATCCAGCTGACCATGGGGAATCTTCACAGGATTCCCTTCACATTGTAGGCAGACACGTGTAGACTTACAAGTAGTTTTTTGAAAAACACTTGGGCAAAATATTACCATATCTTAGAGAAAGAGGGATGTTCATTAGCATCATGTCTGACATTGGATGTGTGTGATTTTGTCTTCTTTACTCTCTTCAGATTTGGAATTCTGTGACTGGGGAACTTGTCCATACCTACGATGAGCACTCAGAGCAAGTCAATTGCTGCTGTTTCACCAACAATAGTCAAAACCTTCTCTTAGCCACTGCGTCAAATGACTTTTTCCTTAAAGTAAGTGTGGATATTGAGAGTTATGTAGATACAAAGAGACATCAAAAAATCTTTTTGATTTTCTCATGCATTATTAGGGCTTTTATTTTTTTGCTGCAGTGTTAGAAACTCCCATAGTAACTTAAGTTCTCCCTCCCACAAAGGAAAGAGTAGTAGCTCACATAACTGAAGTGTCTAGAAGGCATGTGAATTCCAATTCAGGCATTGTTGATTTCAGACCCTTAACCTTTGTTCTCAGGTTCCTCCTCCCTGGGGTCCCTGGGCTCTGTCTTCCTTCTGCTGTTTGGTCACACTGTCTCTGTGCAGCAGGAAATTCAGCCACCTCGGCTCCAGGGTTATTTATTTGAATCTTGCAGCTTCTAATCACAGAGGAAGAGAAGGCTTCCCTGTCCCAGATCCCCCACACCTGATTTTATTTTCTATTTTAAGGTTTTTAAAATTTTGGCGGGAAGACTAGGGCCTTGTGCATTACAACAGCTTAATCCCCAACCCATCCACACATCTGTTTTGGACAGTAGTCCTATTCACTCTTTGCTTCCTGCTCGTTGCTGTATAACCCCAGTGAGGAGTAGGATGCGTCTTTGAATTGTCAAAGGCTCACCGGTTTAGCCATATAAAGGTGGGACAGATGGGTCAGGGCCAGTGTATTTGAATCATAACTAGACATTAATTCAAAAGAAAGGTTCTGGGGCCGGGGATTTAGCTAAGTGGTTTCGCCGCCTGCTGCGCAAGCACAAGGACCCGAGTTCGATCCCTGGTACCAAAAAAAAAAAACCACACACACAAAAAAACAAAAGAAAGATTCTGTTGCTGGAAAGGGAAGGGAGGGAAGGTGTTGGTAGGAAAAAGAAAAGATGACAAAACCAAAACTTTTCATCCAATATATATATTTGCTGATGATTGTAATCATGAATTATAAAAAACTATATATTTTTTTCCTTTAAGAAGATGAAGATAGCTGGATTAAAACCTAGAAAGGTTTGGTAATTTCTTTGGAAAAAATTTTTTTGCCTTGATTTTTAACTTTCTTCCTCAGTGTCATACCATCTTTGCAATGGAAAATCATATTCTTAGGTGGGATAGGTAAATAATTTCAGATTGTAAAGCCTCATAGACTCTGTATTTTGACATCTAAATAAACTATTTCAAAATTTTAAGAAAATGTTGAAACATTTACTGAAAATTGCCTTCCCTCTTTTTAAGAAGCCAAACTCTTATTTATTTTTCTTCAAAAGAAAAAATTGCATGGTATCTCAGTGTCTAAAGTATATGAAGCCTGTTGTTCTGGTTAAAGTAGGGCACAGGCCTACATTCTCTACTCTTCCCTCCACCCCCAGGACCTTGCAGACCCGGTATGGACTCCCCAGGGCTCTACAGTACAGAATTTACAAACAGTATTGCACCAAAATTGCAGATTAATTGTAGTAACATAAAATTATTTCACAGCTATGGCTCACTTTTACTTGGAAAAGCTTTGCCCTATTTGAATAAATCTACCCCTAAAAAGAATAAGTCTATTGTACTATTTATGACTACTTTGTATGTGTGTGTGTGTCTGTGTGTGTGTGCCTGTGTGGTACTGAGAACTGAACCCAGGGCCTTCTCACTAAGGTACTTCTTGAGCCCCCTTTTTTATTTTGAGACATGATCCTCCCGCCTCAGCCTCTCAGAGTGCTGGGATTATAGCCTTGTGCCACCACACCCAGTCCGTGTCTACCTTTTGATGTTACTTTTTAACATTTTGTAGGTTAAGGAAGTTTCTCCTACCTCCTCTTAAATACAGATAAAAATCTTCACCATGTGGGAGGGGGTTTTGGTTAGTAAATAATTTTAATTAAGGGCAAGTTTTATTTTAAGTTCTATTATACCACACCTGCATCACCATAAGGACTGTTAAAATGCACTTCTTATGATTTTTTGAGCTGAGAATCCAGTGAAAAATATGTCAGTCTGAAGCTGCCTCTATATAACTTGCCTTATCTGAAGAATTGCTTTTATTTTATTTTATTTTTTGGGACAGGGTCTCGATGTTTAGTTCAGGCTGGCTCTACAACTCACCGTGGAGCCCATGTTGTGATCCTCTTGGCTCAGCCTCCCTACTGCTGGGATTACAGGCATGGGCCACCATGCCGGTTTTAAGAATTGCATTTGTTGGGACTAGGATCAAGGAAACAAGGGTGGAGATGGACATGAGGACTAGGAGTTATCTCACTTACTGATCATTTCAAAAGAATTTCTACTTTTGGTGATAAGTGACTTCTTCCCCTGGGCCTATGTAATTAGCATAAATCACCAGAGATGACTGTTGCCCTTTTTGTGTACATTTTTTATATTTGTAAATATCTTCAAAGGGAGAGAATACAGTAATGAACCCTATGGTAGCCATCATCTAGCTCCAGCAAATTATATATAAAGTCAGATATTTCCAGTCCTATTTTATCACGCCTTTCCCCCTTTTTGGGCTAGGACATTTTACAGCAACCATTTCACCCAAACTGTATCCGAGTGTGTCTTAGGGCTCCTAAATGTGTCATGCTATTATCTAACAATAAACTATAGTTTTGTTGTATACCTGGTCTGTGTTTACTTTCCCTCGTGGCCTTTCTAACAGGTTTGTTGGAATCAGAATCCAAACAAACTTGACATTTGGCACTTGGTCATTTTGTCTCTTAGGTCTCTATTTAGTCTATAAAAATTCCCATTTCTTTTTCTTTTTCTTCTCCTTTTTTATTTTTTGTGTTTGGTACTGAAGATTGAACCCAAGGCCTTTGCACTGAGCCTCCCCCTTTTTTGAGACAGGTTATCACTAAATTGCCCAGGCTGGTCTCCAATTTGTGATCCTTCTGTCTCAGCCTCCTAGAGTGTTGGGATTACAGGCCTGTGCCAGCACACCTAGATTTTCATCCCTTTCTTACCCCATTGGTGTGTTAGAGAAATTCTGTTATTTGTTTTATGGAATACATCACATTCTGGATTTGTCAATTGTTTCCTGAAAGTGTTGTTTGAATTGCTCTTCTAATCCATTGTATTTCCTGTATTTATACTTCGAATTTTGTGAATCATCTTTCAGAGCATTAATAGCTTTTTGCCTACATTGTAGTCTCAAGGTTTGCAAAATCTTAGAAAAGATCATATTTATAACCTAGCATTTAAAACAATGAGGGCAGTTTATATCACATATTATTGTAGCTTTTTGTAGTTGAGTAAAATAATAATGTTGTAAACTACTCAGTTAAAATAAGTAATACTTGTTTAGTTATTTAGGAATTAGAGTAAAAACCTATGTGAACCTTCAAATCTCTGTAGATTCAGATGCTGATCTAAAGGCAGCCCAGTTAATCACAAGTTTATCTTTGTATTTGACACCTTTGTGTTACTATGAATTGAAGATTGTTCTTCAACTAAAAGATCTTAATTGGAAGGAAAGGAAGAGGTTGATATGATTTCTAACTTTTCCTTGTTTAGTATCAGTTGTTTTTTATTTTTGGTACCGGGGATTGAACTCGGGACCTTGCGCTTGCAAGGCAAGTAGGGACACCACTGAGCTAAATCCCCGGCCCAGTATCAGTTTTTTTTTAATGTATCTTTTAATCTTTCTCAAATAGCTGTGGGACTTGAATCAAAAAGAATGTCGAAATACCATGTTTGGCCACACAAATTCAGTTAATCACTGCAGATTTTCCCCAGATGATGAGCTTTTGGCTAGTTGTTCAGCTGATGGAACATTAAAGGTAAGCATTTGTACATTATTAAAATGGGCTGTAATTTTATGGAAAGTCTTAGGATTTGGTTATGGAAATAGGTTTCTGTTTGTGTTTCTGTTTGCTTTTTTTGGCTCACAGTTTCAGAGGTTTCTGTTTATGGTTACTTGGCCCTGTCACCTTTGTGCCTGTGTGAGACTGGGATATGCGTTAGAGCAAATCTGCTCACCTCATGGTGGTGGGGAAGCAAAGGGATAGGAAGGGATCAGGATCCCAGTAACCCCCAGGGTTAACCCCTGGGTTAGTAACCCCACATGCCTAGTGACCTCACTTCCTTCCGCTAGGCCCTGCCTCCGGAAGCTTCCACCATCTCTTAATGGTGCCATAGGCAGGGGACCAAGCTTCAACACATGGCCTTTGGGGATATTCAGGATCCAAACTATAGTACTGTTTTCACTTTCCTACAGAAAGAGCTTCAGTTTCCAGTAGGGTATTGAATGTAACCATAATTGCTCATCCTAGTGATTGTTTGTGAATGGTTTACAATATAATGTTTAGAATTCATATAATTTGAATTCGTTAGTTTTAAGCGTGTATTCAAGTATTTTGAGATTTGTAAAGGACTGCTTTTACTTATCATTTATTGCCTTTTATTTGACTTTCTCTGTTTTTGAGAAGCCATGGGGGGGGGGAAACTCAAGACTTGGGGAACAAAGCTTATGTGGCCTGAAATTTATATTTCTAAGAAAGCCTAAATCCTTCATCTTTTTTTTTTTTTTTTTTTTGGTACCAGGAATCGAACTCAGGACCTTGCACTTGAGAGGCAGGCTGAGGAACCAGTGAGCTAAATCCCCAGCCCAATCCTTCATCTTTAAATCCCTACTTCACCTCTGAAATAAAATCCAAATTTCACTTTCTTATTGCTGCCTCTGCTGCCCCTCTTGTCTCCTGTTTATCGATTCTCTTTTCTTTGGTCGTAAGCACAAACCATCTCTGACCCTCTTGTCTTTTGGTCTGTCTCTTCTGTTCTGTTCAGTGGTATTGGAACTAGTTCAGGCTGTTGTCCCCTGTCTTCTAAGACACACTGACTGTCTCTACTGATCGAAGTGCAGAGCTGCTGGGATAACCCTCTACTGCTGTTTCCATCCTGCCACTTTCAGCTGGAACATAGCTAGTATCATATTACACATTGTAGGAAGTCCAGGCTCATCAAGCTAAGGTTCTTCACCTTCCATCATTCTGCCACCGCCTTTCCTGTCCAGCTGATTTCTTTTATACATTAGTTGTTTGTTCTGGGCACGATAACTTTTGGTTCTTCTTTTAGCTACTGTCCTTTATGTTTCATAGTCTTGATATATGTCCCTGCAGTCTTTTGTGGGGTTATTTTTGGCTACAATTAACTTGCTATATTTTGAAAATGATCTTGACAACTTTGTGCAAACATTTTTCAAGAAGTATCCTAATATCTATCTATGTGGTACATAGTTTTGTCTTTGTCAATCTGTTAATCTATATCTGTAGATACAAACTGGTTAGTTTGTCTTTATTTTCCATGTATAAATATGTATGGTGTACAGTTTAGTCACTTTCATGTGTTCTTTGATAAAATTGACTATAGGTTAATGATCTTCAGAGACCATGTCATCTTTCAGTTGAGTCTTTGCTGAGGTTCACAGTACAGAAATTACACAAAACACAAACTGAGTAGCCTTGATGTATACAGTACTACTTCTAGAGAAATACTTGAACCCTCCTGGGTCCTGTCTTATTTGTTAGAATCTCTATAAATAGAGATTTGTTAATTTTTCTAGGTGTCTTTTCTAGGTGTCTAGGCAAGATAAACTCTCTTGATGCTACTCTGTGGTTCTGTCTTTGATCTCTCTTCCCTGACTGAGGATAATTCTTTTTTGTACAAATTATTCCAGGGCACTTAGAAACCCTAGGCTAGAATTCTACTTTGCAGACTTAAGCTAGCTGACAGTAAATACGGGGAGCATTCTTGGGTAGAATATTCAGGCAAATGAATTTTAGCATCTATGATTTGGTATCTACAAATACCAAATATCTGTCTTTTCCTTTAGGATGGCCCATGTTATAGGAGGTGTCTTGGTTACTTACTGCTGAAACAAAACACTGGACAATCAAAGTTAAAGGAGGAAAGGTTTATTTGGCTCACAGTTGGTAGAGGTTTCAGTCCATAGTTAGCTGGCTCTAAGGCAGGGTAGTATGGCAGAGGGGCATCGCAAAGGAGAAACAGTTCATGGCAGGCAGAAGGTAGCAGAGTAGCAAAGCAGCAAGCAGCAAGTGACCAGCAGTGACCCTTTTTCTGTCTCTTGTATTCTTCCATCCAGGCTACCTGCTCTTAGGGTGGGTAGCACACACACTCAGGGTGGAGCACCCTCAATGCTACCCATAACTATGCCAAACCAATCAGTGGACTGATGCAGTAATCACACACCCTTGATCCCAGCGTCACACACCCTAGATCCAGCCACCTCTGAAAAGAACTACCTATGACCTCATGGGGCTTTGAGGAGACATCTAGACACAAGCCATAACGGTGTTTTTCAGAATATCCTTGGATGGCTTAAGACAGCCATCTTCTGAGAGATTCTTTCAGTCCCATAACCCTTTATTTCTTAGTTTTTTACTGTGTGAATGGCTTTATAAGGAAGCATTTTATATGTCAAGGCAAGCTCTCCTTCCATCTAACCTCCATTGAAAATTCCACATCCTCCAACTGTGCCCAGCAGGCATCCATCTGTTTGTCTTTTACTGGCCCTCCTCTTTTGCGTGAAGAGGATTGTTTAGGGCTACATATAAAATATATAATACACATTGTATATAAGTAACAAAACTCGCCTTTTATATTTTTATTATAACATTACAAGAAAGAGGACAAAGGGGGGCGCAGGTTGGTCACATTATTTTATTATTATTAGTTGTTGAATGTTCAAGAAGATTTTAAGATCAAGCCATTTATCTGTTTCACAAATCTAGGCTGTGCTGCCTTTCTGCTGCTGTTCATCCCTGGTTGATTTGCTGTTTCCCACTGTAATGCCTGTACTAATTCTTTCTTGCTGTTCTTAAGCCTCTGTCCTTTTATTCTGTGATGATATCTTTACCTCAGCAATTCAGAGGGTTAAAATCATCTACCAGAAGCTCACTGCCTGAACCCCCTCAAAAATGAGCCCTAAGAACCCCCATCTTTTATTTTGTCATCCCAGAGCCTGGAAATTCCTCTACCACCCCACTACCCCGCTTCTATGGTACCTTGCTTCAGCAGTTATTCATCTCTTATGTTGCTTATTTGATTTGTCTTCTTTTGGATACTGTCTCAGGGCCTTTAAATGTTCTTGGGCCCTCCTAAAGCCTATAAATATCAAAATGTGAAGAACCTTTGATTCTTCCTTGGATTGTCTTTTAAAATAGTCACTCCGTCTTTCCCTTTTTGGTGAGTTTGAGCCATCTGTGTCAGTTTTCTGTTGCTGTAACAAACGCTTGCTCTTGGGCAATGGTGAGGCACTGTGCTCTGACAGGGAGTGCATGGTAGATAAAAACCGCTCAAGGTGGGAGCAGAGGAGAGAGAAGGGGACCAGGGTTTTGCCTCTCCTGTGGGCGCATTATCTCTCTTCCCTCCAGCAACCCGAAGATCTTCCAGGAGGCCCCACCTCCTAGAGCCTCCCCAGCCTTGCAGTTAAACCATGGGCTGCGGAGCAGACCTGTACCTGTAACGTGTGGGCCTTCGGGGACATTCCACATCTGAACCAGAGTGCCATGTACATTGTCCGTTTCCTGACCACCACTTGTCGTCTTCTGTCTTCACTGTATTCCTTTGAAGAGTATGAAATCCAGTCTTATCCTTGTTTCCATTTTTTGTTGTAAAGTCTAATGTACTCTGGATTAGTGTGAAATCTGCTCTTTTTCTTTTTTTAAAATTAATTTTATTGGTACATTTTAGGTATACAATATAATGACATTCATCATTGGGAATTTGCACCTTTACACTCTCTCTCGGTTCTCATTTTTCCCCCTTCCCCTGCCCTCCCTTCAACCCCTCCATCCCTCCCTATCTACAAAGACTTTGTTTCCATTTTTTCATTTTCTCATATTAATTCCATTCCCTTCTTTCCTTTCCCCTAGCCCTCCCACTTCCTCTTCCCCTTTGCCCCTTTTCTTCCTATTTCACATTATCTATTATGGTATTTTTCTTTAGTCCTATTCTTTTCGTTGTATTACCAGTGTTCCATAGGTCCTAAAGTTCCATAGGTCCTTCTTAAAAACTCCGTATTTTGATAAAACACCAGTGTTACAATCCTCCCATCTCTTAACTACTTACTTAATTCTGTTCCCTGGCCATTAAAATATAGCTGTTCCTGCAACAGTTAACTGTGGCTGCCCCATTTTTACCTCTACCTCAGCTCACTCCAGTTTCATGGCTTCAACTCTTCTATCTGCTGTGCCTGACTTTCCACTATTTTATCACCAGCCTCGTCTCTCCTATGTGCCTGTGTTCTGCATCCTAAGAGCTTGTTAGTTATTACCACTTAAATGATACACTGTGCCTCAAAGTTACTGTGCTCTAAATTGAACTGGTTATTTTCTTCACAAATGTGCCCACATTTTGTGGTTCCAATATGTTTCATAATTTTGATTAGAACACTTTCAGGATTTATTAATAAAAGTCATTGTGACTAATTAATTCAACCACATAGTATATTTTTTTTCTCCTTAAATTTAAACATTTCTTTTCCTCATTTCTTCTCTTTGTCCATTTGCCCTACTTTCTGGAAGATTTCATTAGCTATTGAGGGTTTTTTTTGTGTGTGTGTGTGAGAGACAGGGTCTTACTATGTGGCCCAGGCTGACCTCTATCTATTGAGTTTTAAACTTCTGTTCTCATATTTTTAAGTACTCATTCTTATGATCAGTTTATTTTTAAAAAAAAATATAATCCTAGGGCTGGGGATTTAGCTCAGTGGTTTCGCTGCCTGCTGCGCAAGTGCAAGGACCCGAGTTTGATCCCCAGT